ACAATGGAAGATCCAGAGGAATGGGAAGTCACTTTTTCTGTTCATTTAACTGTATGCATTCCTACCATTCAAAGAACTGTACGTGTTAGGGTCTCACATGCTTTTTTCAAGACTTAACATGTAACTATTTTAAAATAATCTTAATATGTTCAGTTGCTTACAATTAAATATCCTACGTGTTTTTAAGGGAACTATAATTAATACAGAATGCACAACAGCAATATTGAAGAATTATGACCTCCCTGAGGAATCACACTCAGCAAGTCCTACCACAGCTCAGTCATTCTTCCACAAGATTTAAGAGATAGTAAAATAATAAACAGTAATGTACAATCAAAAATCCGTATTTTAAACCTCTTTAAATATTAGCTCACTCTATCTAGAAACAGCAGCCAAGATCTCAAGTTACAAATTAACAAAAAGCGTCTCACAGAAAGTTCTTAAAAGAAAAAGGACTTCTAGAAGTTACCTCAAACTCTTTTCTAAAGATAAGCAAAAGCACTAAAATAAGAAAACCATATAATATACTTTTACAAACCTACTCTAAATTAAAAGAAGTAGTGCTGAGATAAGATAGGTGATCTCTCAAAGAAAATAATAGAAACCAGTAAGACAATTCCATCTCTTAGAGAGAAGAAATAAAAGAGTGACTATACAGACAGACATCTGACATCACCAGAAGTGGTATTTCTTTTTTCCTCTCCTCAACTTCTGGCGCAAAAGGCATAGAGGAAACCATTTTCTCAATGACTGAAAAACTGATCTCAGACAGCGATGCTCAACATGACAATTTCCTTGGTTCTTACACAGCAATAATTCTCACTTCAATCCTCAGTTTTAATGCAATATGCTAAGAATAAAAAAAAACGGGAAATGGTAGATTGTTAAGATACATCAGGAATAAAAGGTTATTACAAACAGATTAGTCCAGGGTAGAAATGACACAGGCTAAGTAGGAGGCATGGATAATCTGGGTAAGTGCCATGGAAAAATAAATATCATGATTGGACTTAAGGCAAATGGAAGCAGTTCAAATTGGCTTCCTCCAAGTCACTGCAGAACACGTGATGTCCATTTCCAACAAACCTCACCATAAAGAAACAAAAGGCCAACACTGTGAAGTGTTGAAAAACACATCTACCACCAGCTTCTTCCATACCACAGCAATGTGAATTATTGCAGCTGCCTGAAAAGCATGAAAGAAAAAGAGGTTGGGGGTTTTTGCATTAGGGCCGGGGGGGAGGGGGTGGGGAGTGGGTTTGTTTTATTTTTTGGAAGAGAACTACCAGCATTTTTCTGAAGCACACCAACCTGTCAGTAAGTGTCGACCTTGCAAAGAGGAGCAAATTTTATAAAATGCAGGTTGCGGTTTTACTGTTGGTCTACAAGGCTCAGTGCATGGCTGTGGCCAAAGGCAGTAACGCCACTCAGCCCACTTCCCCGTCCATCTACATGCTCCTATAACCTCTCTGGCTCAGTTCTAGCAGATTTCTGTCAGGTTAGCTTTTCAGAACATCAGTTTCTTTACCCAACTCCATGTGAGGCCACAAAAATGCCAGTGTTTGCTTAACAGAAAGGTCAGGAACTCCTGGCTAAGGGTAGGCTGTCTCTATAACCAGCAGCCCACACCTAAATTGGCTTAAATTGATCACAGAAATCACAGCCTCGCAGAAATAAGTGGATATTCGTATCATTGCGTGGATATAAGGAAATTTTTGGTAATGGTGGTCCTAGAGAAAGGACCTCAAAAAACAGCCATTTTTAAGGTTTAAGATTAGCTTTATGGCAAAGTGTTGTTAATCTACTCGTTAATAAAGCCAAATATCAGCAGTAGGTGGATTATGATCAAGTAAAAACTTTGCAGCTTAAAAGATCTTCCACCAGAAACAACTCTTTTACATGACAAATTTGAGATTATGGCTTGATTAGCAAACATATAAGATATTTCAAAGGCATGTTACCAATTTTTACCGAAAAGTAAAATCACAACTACTACAGCAAAACAGTGCCAATCTTTATGCTTCCATTATAAATTGGAAAATAAAAGAAAGAGGAATTTAGAAACAAATGATAAAGACAGAAATTGCATGAAGAGGAGAGACTGAAAATAGCAGCTAGTGGTTTGAATTAAATTCAGATACTGGTAGGACATAAATACTTTTATCACTAGAGGATAGCATACATGCTGCAGTCAATGGGGGACACAGGAACACAGCTGTTAAAACATACCACTGCAGCATCAAAGTGGGATAGTGAGTCTTGCTCTAGAACGACACTGAAGCCCCCTTTAAATTAGCTCCACTATCAATTCATAACTGCTCATCCCAGTAGAACAATCAAAGGCAGTTGCACACTGTTAGCCATGTTAACCCTGGTTGCTGCACAGACTACTGCAGTCAGCATGCGCTTACCTCTACTGGGTGGGTGAAGTTATCTACGCTTACCTCTACTGGGTGGGTGAAGTTATCTAAGTTTGTGTGATTTTTGACTTATCAGCAAATTCCTTGCTATTTTTACTGGCCACTATCACCACATTTTAGGGCAACCTTGAGGACATCTGTATTTTTTGCTCCTTTAAAACTATTTGAAAACCCTCCCTTGATGAAAACACAGAAGTTTCACTTCTCATCATTAGTAAAAGCACAGAAGGACTCTGACATCGAGTATGTGAGGCATTCCGTGATTCTTACATGAATAATACATTAGACTTACTGGACCAGCAAATGGTCTTGACCTTTGAGCCTCAACCAACTATGACAGCTGCAGGTTCGCAGTAGAAACAAGTGGAATAGCGTTGATGACACTTTTGCAGTCAAATATACTAAACCAGGAATACTTAGACAAAGGAAACCTGCTGTTCTTTCCCCATATGTGAAATTACATTTTGCACCCCCCACTTCTCATTCATTCCCAGTGGAAACTAGTACAATTCTTTGGAGTAGCTAGAGTGTGGTTAAGCAGAGGAAGCTATGCTTGTTTGCATGCAATCTGCTATTTCCTCTCTGCCAAAACACTTGTTTAAAGAAGTCATGTAGTATTTCTATTAAGCTGTAAATGCAGTTGACAAGGAAATGGCCTACTGGCAGTGCATTACCTTTGTGGCAGTGCCAACCAGCCTACAGCAAAATAGCGCACATGGTAATTTCAACATGCATTCCCAAGTAACAAAATTGTGCCTTACATAAATACCACAGAATTCCAGCGACATCTAGAAAAAATAATGAAAATTTGCCCAAGCTTTCATGCTTGCCTGTATCAATTCTGTGTCATAACTAAAACAAAGTAGGAAAGCATCTACATATGTCCAAAAGTCCTGTGAAGCTATATCATATAACACTGGGAAAACTATTGCAACTTAAATCTGTGTATTTCTTGTTAACCACTGTAACAACTCACTAATAAAAATTAAGAAAAACTGTAGGTATCAAATATACAAAAGCATACTAACTGCATACAAGCTCTTAAAAACTATAACGTAATTTATTAACAAGAACACATGTCCTATGTAATCCAGAATTGTTGTGTTAAATTACTTTGGCCTTTGATAGCATCTGTTTGATTACAAGAATTAAATAGATTCACAAGCTTTCAAACTCAGTGACCCTTGATTTATAAGCAGCTATTGTCATGTATATAAAAATCGCCTCTGATAATGTAGTCTTCACCTTTCAACAGCTAGTGCAACTACATATGATGTTAAAATGAACACAGATGTAACTAAGACATTTTCATTAAAAGTACAACCAAAAACATCAGCATGATCAAATGTATTTAGTATGTAATCAATAGCTCTTAAAAATATTTTTAAGTGTTATTTCATTTTAAATTAAGTTCCCATCAAAAACAAGCTGCAGAGATATTTATTTTGTTCTCTGCTTTCATCTGAGTATTTTCAGTTTGAACAACAATTTAAAAATAGTTAATTATACAGCAAAAGAGAAATATGGTGCAGGAAAATTACTAAGCTTTTCTTCCAAAATTATGTAATGTTTCTAACTGCAAAACACTCACTAGCTTTAACCAAGCTGCACATTGCCATAAAACTTCAGGAAACATGTCTGCTCCAAAAAGCACACACAAATAAAATCAGGGACCCAACAGCACTAAATAGACTTCAACTCATATATTTGTCACCTTACAGTAATCATATATGAACAGTACCTTCTCTTTCAATGGTGGTGGCTTCCTTACATTAAGATCCTGATATATGAGGCACCAGCAAAAGAAAACTGAATAAAATAATCCATATGCGTATCATTTTTGCAGCAAATCACATCGATGAAAAATAATCTGCTTTTAGCAATATAAAGTGTCTTATTTGTGAGCGTCTCAAATTACTTTAGATATAAACAATTCGAGAAGAGTACTTACTGATGCTCAATGCAATTGGTGCAATCCCATAGCTTGTTTCAAAAAAAAAAATAAAAGCATGACTAACAGTGGCAACAGTTATTCCTAGATAAATATTGTTCCCCATTAACTTCTCCAAGTAATTCCTTTATAACTGCTACTTCTCATAAAGCGACTAATTCTATTTACATTTTATTTTGCAAAAATTAAACTAATTCAGTAACGGACTTTAAGAGTCACTTTAAGAGTACTAAGTAAAAACTGTCAGGGGTTACTGATGTTAGCAGCACTCACACAGGACAATTCTGAATCCTTCTTTAGGTCGTCTTTACTTCAAAACTCCCGTTCAAAGGAGGATGGCCTCTTGGCTACTGAACTCTCCAAGTACAGGTAGAGTATGGAATACTAGAATATATGTTGCCTTCAAGTCAATAAGGCACTTACTGCTTTACTTTTATCAAGAGAGCGCTATTCTCAAACTTTACAGAGACATGTTAAAACACAAGCAAACAGCAGAAAATTGGAAGCAAGACAGCAAGGAAAAATTCTTACTCTTAAAATCTTGTCCATAAACATATAGTTCTACAATTACAGTATTGGGGGGGGGGGATGTTAATACAACAAACAAGAAAACACCACCACATACTTACCCTCATTGGATGAATATCAGCATACGGTGGCTTTCCTTCAGCCATTTCTATTGAAGTGATACCAAGGGACCAGATGTCTGCCACACAGTTATACCCAATCTCTTGTATTACTTCAGGAGCCATCCAAAATGGAGTTCCTATAACAGTATTACGTTTTGCCATTGTATCCTGCAATTATATTATTTACGCAATTAAAACAGAGATGCTAATTTCAGATTCTTTTGATATTAATTCTGTATTTAAAAGTTAAATTAGCCACCTAAAGGTAAGATGGTAGTGACTTCCAATTAAGACCAAACAGATTCACCCCATTAGCGAACAGATGTCAAACACGTGACAATGACCACAAACCTCAAACAAAAGTTTAAAGTGGGATCATGAGGCACTTGAAGTACACTGGGTTATAAAAATAAACAATTAAAAGCTAAATAGCCTTCCAATACATTAAATACTCTTCATGAGAAAGAATTTTAACTCTACCAGTGGTCACTCCTCAGACACAAAATTCAAGGCAGAAGCAAAAGACAAGAGAACATGGTTAGGAGCACCAAGGCATTTTTAAATGATATTTCCACAGGTACTTACTGTTAACTGCCCAGCCACACCAAAATCAGCTAATTTTGCATGTCCCTCAGTGTTAAGAAGGATGTTTCCAGCCTTTATATCTCTATGTATTTTTCTCATAAAGTGCAGGTATTCAAGCCCTTTAAGAGTAGATTTTAGAATAGTTGCAATTTCATCTTCTGTTAGCTGTAAAAAAAACATAAAACCATTTCCAGGTACACACATAGAGTCTATATATTTGAATTATTTAAAACATGTTCATTTCATAATTATTATTACAAATAATACAGACAATATACCTTAGGTATTTTAACACAGGAATATGCCCAATAGCATATACAATTCAAAACTCTAATCTACTAACTAGATTCTTACACGTCTAGAGTCCAGTTAGGGCAAATGAGCTACAAAACTAGAGAAAGGGCTGACTGATGCAGATCAGATGGCAGAATATGTAATATTCTCTTGCCTGTCAATCAAAAGTTACTACTCTTTAGATGTTGACATCCTTCATTAGGACTGCTGCAGTTTCAACAATATACAACTAATACATTTGTCACTAAGATCATACATATTAATTGTCAAGTTACACAATACCTTTGTCAAAACAAAGGTAGGGTTTATCACCACTGGACTAGATGGCACACACCAAAATACCTCCCTGGAGAAAAAGAGACAGCCCTTTCTCTACTGTGGAAGGCCAAGAGCTATTCCTCAACCATCCATGCCCTTAAGGTCTTTACACAGTTTGCCCAAACTGGCACAGTCCTACATTTGGAAAGAGATTAAAAGAATACCATGGTTTTTTTATTTCTCAAATTCCTGCATACAAAATGCCTGCTAAGTCTACAATTAGTAGTATCAAGCTTTTGTCCAGCAGCTATTCCTAATTGCACTACTATTATTCTCATTGACAGCAATTTACAATTTCAAGAGGATGAATTAAGATCTTATTTGCAAGAACACACAGAACAAAAAGGGATAAAGGTGTACAGAAAATAGGCACTTGATTTATCACAAGGCTTGTAAAAAAATATATTTTTCAGGGATAGCTTGCTATTTATTTGTAGGGAGATAATATACCATGCAGAAATACAAACACCCAAACAGTCTCTAGTAACTAGTTTACAGAGAAGTCTGTGAAGCCATTCCTTTTAAGGCTAGTGCCTTCGTTTTATATGGAATGAGAGTAAATACTAAGTTTTGAAAGTAATTACTTCTCACTCTGCCTGTGCTCCATACCAACATAAACCTGTAGAACTACACCCACACAGATGTGCCCCCATGACTTCCCAAAACCCTATTCAGCCCTAAAAAAGGACAACTAAGATGTCAAGGTACTCTTATGCTGGAAGTTATCAATAACTTTTATTACTGTTCCTTTAACTGTAGATAATTACAGAAATTATTGAGAATGAATGCCAACCAGATGCTATGGGCTTTTTCTTACACCGTCCTTTTCTTGTTGCCAACATTCACAGAATGAATGCTTACTGAACTTTTGGGTTCTTTTTAAATTTGCTGCATCACTCAACAATGGCTAGATGATATCCTCATACGAAAATACAATCGGATTGAATATATGGCTCTTGAATTTCAGCTACAAGTAGCATATTTTTTAAAATATTTACCAACAATGTTAATTAATTTGCTGTCTATGCAAAAGTTTCCTGTTAGTTCTTATTATTAGGTGTGGATAATCCCTATAAGCTATGCTGTAATATACCATGTTACTATGACACTATAAAGTTGTACAGTTAAACTAACAGAAATTGTAATGTAGCTGGCCCTGAATATATAAGACAAGCCACATTTAATAAGCACAACTACCACTACATGAAGATAATGTGTCAGCCCCCAATTTTCAAAGTAGTTGCAGCCTGTTAATATCTTCTGGTCTCTAAAAAGCATATTCCTTTACATAATGTTTACCAGTGCATAATACTATCTTTTACGGCCTGAATGCTTAATTTTTAACAGGTTTCTTTGTGTTCTTTAATAGCAGCATGGCCTTCAGTTACTTCTGAGAATCAAGGTAGCATAGTTGGGGCTTTTAGAACTTTAGAGTTACTCAAGTCAGCAATACATTTTGTACAGTTATACCCAGCTCTCTTTCATATCATGTTTGCTGTTTATTTTTTAGTCAGGATGAATAGAAAGGTGTTCGCAAATTAGTCAAGTAACTGAATACAAACCAAGAAACAAAATTGAAAATTTGAAGAGTAAAGAAAAAAAAATTGCAACAAGGATATTTACTGAACTCTGTAAAAGCATCACAAAGGAAGCACTATGAACTCTTTTGCTTGACTTTAAGCAGATCAGGCAAGCTTCAGTTTTAAAGCAAAAAAAAAAAAAAATTGTCAATGACTAAACACCTACTATAAATAACGAAGTGGAGTAGACTGAGCAGTCAAAAACACCTCTCTTATTTACTACTTACTTACTCTCTCTTATTTACTACTTCAATGTGTTGCAGAATTCATATACTATCACAAATGATACAATAAGCTCCAAATATCAACTGGCAACAAGCTGACAGACATTTCATTACCAAAGAAAACACAGTGCAGTAAAAAAAAAAAAAAAATATAGTCATTTATCTGCTTCATAAACTACATGGACTAGTAAGTCATCAATTAGCACCATTTTTTATCTTCATTGCTTTAGACCAACATAATAGGAACACATAAGCTCCTGAACACGTGTTATCAGAAAGAGTGAATCTTTTGCAGGTACCAGACCCCCTGAGAACACTTGTCATATTTTCATCAACATTTATTCTAGAATAAAAGCAAAACCACACACACAGTTCATTCCATGGGATGCCATTTCTCAAGGAAATACAAAGAAACTATTCATGCAACTGAAATGCTGACCAGTTACAGCACATCAATGCTTTAATGTAAGACCTAAGCAAATAAACTTGACACATTCTTTGAGATGCAAGAAACTTCAAAACTGAAGATGAGTACTCTACTTTGGCTGCAACACTGGGTTGCATTTTTCCCCTTTCTCTACTTTTCCAATCCTACACAGAAATTACATTAAACAATAGCAATTCCTTCCAGTTTCAGTTTTGAAAGTGTTGGCACATATCCACACGTCCCTCCAAAAAAAAAAAAAAAACCACCACCAAAAGCCCACAGGACAAAAAAAAACAACCCACCACTCAATCACTCCAAGCCAACAGAATGACTTGACAGAAAAGAGAAAACGATTAGTCAGTGCAATTATCTGCACTTGAGTTCCTCATAACAAGTTTTAATTATTTAACAAACAGAATCACTTCCCTATTCCAGCTTCTCCCCAGTCTCATAAAACCTGGGTGTGGAGCCCAAAGGCACAATTTCACATACGTTTATTTAAACAGCAGTGCCAAGCTCCAGTCCCTCCTTTCACTGCAACCTACAGCAGTAATTCCCACTGTGTGTCAGCGCTTCTGTAACTGACCTTAGTTAAAAATAAACCTTTCTGCTAAATTATTTTTCCAACAAACCAGTTCCCTGATTCAATTCATCACATAGTCAACAAGGATGTAGGAGCTGATCAAATTGGCATAGCTTTCCAAATAAGTACAAGTGTTGATATACTCAAAGAGTCCCCATGACTTTTATAAACCTTTCCCTATGCAAGCAGAGGATGAAACTGATGGTGGCATTAGCTCGATGCTCCACAGCATGCAGTTACCGCCTCTGCTGCCTACTATGCATTTCTTGCCTGCCATTTATCTCAGAGATTTTTCAGTGTGTCTACCCAGTGGCACACTGCTCAAAGCCTTTATTTGTGCTACTTTGAAGCAGCACAGCAGTCAGCGTAATGGATTGTATGCCAGGAGAACTGAAAACCCTGTTATACACAGCTCAAACAAGATGGATTTCCTGGCATTGCACCACGGGAGTAAAACCATCTACCTGATCTGGAGTCAAGCAAGAAAGGACTTTAAATCAACTATAAGATAACCTGAAGGATATCTGGAGAAAGAAACAATCCTCATCATGTGTTGTGGTGAAGTACACTACAACTGTGATTATCAGAAGACACACACTACAGGCAATTTAAGCTCTGGCTATTAACAAATACTGTACCATGAACAGTTTATGACACACTGAGTGTAACACTTCCTGCCAGAGCTTTGCCAAATCCACCCCAGTTCAGAAATAATACAATGTCCTGAATCTCCAGAGACTTCCACACGGTTTATCCTGAACATGCATCAAAAAACTACCCTGAGCACTGACAAATGTATAGCAAGAATTCATCTAGAAACAGGTATTATGAGAAATTGTGCTTAGAAGGCTCTGCAGAGAAGGTGTCTCTTCAATATGTTGTGCTCCTAAGGAGGTATATTCCTAGCTTTAGTTCTTGGAAAAATTCGTGGTTAAACCACATGGAGATCTTTGGATCAACTCTAGATGGAGAGGTGCTTTTGCAGCTGCATGGCAAAGCCCAGCTCTCAAAAGGAGAACAGAACACCTATACCAAAAGATCGGCAAAGAAGCTATGGACTGAGAATCCAGCAAATCAGAAGGGAGTGAGTTCTGGAGTATTGCAGCCTGATACACCATCTGGAGACCATCAGTAAAGGAAATCTCTAACATGGCTACATGTTACAAAAGTAAGAAGTTTTTTTTGTAACATCAAAATACATACAGTGGTCAGAAAAGCCCATAGAAGTGAATGTGACCTATAAGAAGTAAGCAGAGAGCCCAAGTCGTGTTTATCAGGAACAGCAGTAACAGGGAAGTACAGGGGAAAAAAGACAACAGCATTACTCTGCCATAAGTGTTCTGAGACACATCAACCCCAACTCCAGATATCCTAGCTCCATCCACTTGTGCTTCATAAAATGCATGTGTGTGTATATACACGTATAATCAACTATGTAACGTGATACAGTCACTAAAGTCATTCCT